TTAAATGAAAAATAAAAATTATTAAGATTATGAAAAATACTTAGAATAAATTTCTAGTACAAGGATAAAACCCAAAAAAAAATACATTTTTTAAAATTTTCAAAACTAAAGATCACAAGTCAGAGAGACCAATTCCTTAATTTTCATTATCTTTGTTCTATTTTTTTTTTGCTGTTATAATTAAATATACTTCATCTAATTTTAATAATTATTGTAATATATTGTGACATTTTAATTAATGTGAAGTCGATAAAGTTATTTTTTCTTTCCGATTTTTTTTTAATTTTTTTTGCGCGTTTTTACCACCTGACATTTTTATGATTTCAAAGATATCTTGCATAAACTTTGTATGTGTGTGTTTATTCAAGCAGTGTAAATGTGAAATTTTGTTTATGTCAATGTGGAAGTTGCAGTTCAAAATTTATTCCATATTCGCAAATTATATAAAAAATCTATTTTTTCATATTTTCTATGAGCTTTATAATTATGAAGATTTCTTACTGAAACTTTGTGTATGTTTAGTTAAGTTAATAAATTTATTTAGTAAGTTTAAGAAAGCACTCAGCGAAGGCAGTTAAAAACGGTTTTTTATTCAACATACGCTGAAGAAACTAAGAAATTTTCCTACAAAAAATTCAATTTAACTATTAATTCATGAAAAATTTAATTTAATTTAAATCAATTAATTTTAAATCAATTTTCTAGCTGGCAAGCAATTAGTAACTTACAACAATAGGAATTTGATTAGCTTTTCATTCTATATTGTTTCATTTGAGCGGATACTATTGCAAACTTTAAAATCTATATAGAAAAATGATGGCCTCCCGAATGAAGTTACGAGGTGTGTTCAAAAAGTAAGGTGACTTTGTATTTTTAAGAAAAAATATTTATTTATTTATCAATATTTATGTTGTCCCCTTCAAAGTAATCCCCCTCAGATACAATACACTTATGCTAACGGTTTTTCCAATCCTCAAAGCACTTCGATGCAGTCTTTATCTCTTCAATCGTTGCAAATCTCCGTCCTTTGATAGGTCTCTTTAGTTTTGGGAACAAGAAAAAGTCACATGGGGCCAAATCCGGTGAATATGGTCGCTGAGGCATGATTGTGGTGTTGTTTTTGGCCAAAAAATCTCTCACAAGCAAAGATGAGTGAGCAGGGGCATTATCATGATGCAAAATCCATGAATTGTTTTTCCATAATTCTGGGCATTTTCTTCGTATTGCTTCTCGCAACCGGCGCATAACTTCAAGATAATACTGTTTATTGGCCGTACGTCCATATGGTAAGAACTCCTGATGCATCACGCCATGGTAATCGAAGAAAACAGTGAGCAAAACTTTGACATTTGATCGAACTTGGCGTGCTTTTTTCGGTCTTGGCTCATCTGGGCTCTTCTATTTGGACGATTGGACTTTGATTTCGATATCATAACCATATACCCATGATTCGTCACCAGTTATGACCCTTTTGAGTAAATCTGGGTCGTCGTTGACGTCATTCAACAGTTCTTGAGCGATGCTCATGCGACGGTTCTTTTGGTCAAAATTTAGCAATTTCGGAACAAACTTCGCTGACACACGTCTCATGCCCAAAACGTTAGAAAAAATTTCATGGCACGAGCCAAGCGATATACCAACATCCTCAGCAACTTCTCTGATAGTGATTCAACGATTTTCCAGAACAATTTTCTTCACTGCTTGAACATTTTCATCAGTTGTTGACGTGCTTGGGCGTCCAGAGCGAGTCTCGTCATTGGCATCTTCCCGGCCATCTTGGAAGAGTTTGTACACATTTTTTTTACTTAGAACAGTTTCACCGTATGCCACCGTCAACATTTCAAGTGTTTTGGAGCACTTTATTTTATTTTTTACACAAAATTTGATGCAAATCCTTTGATCCATATTTTTCGATAGCAAGAAATCGCCGAGCACGCAAAACACTTATAACCTTTAGGCCTCTCACAACCAAACAAAAAATGCTATACACTTGAAACTTGGTACAGATGTTCGAGAAGAGTGTACCAACATAACAAAACAAAAAAATCGATAATCGAAAGTACGTTGCCCGTGAAATTTGAAAAGTCACCTTACTTTTTGAACACACCACGGATTTCATTGCTGATCTGATTGGTTAAATGTAGTCACATGGGTTACTGATATGGACAAATTGGCTTTAAAGAATAGAAAGGAGCATTTTACATCGAGTACTACTCAATCAATTGAATAAAAATAAGTAAGTATAATAATTTGTAGTCACTAAAAAAATTATAACATTCACATTCTCTCAACTAGTTAATCTTCAACTAATGCGATAAATTAGTCTTAATGCACTCCAATTAAATTTATTTATAAATTCATTAAATATATTTATTATAAAGTTCAGCTTTAAATAATCATCATCAACAGTAAGTAACATTCATCAAGAGATTTGATATGAAAAACTATAAATTGCTTTCAGCGGATTCGGTTAATTTATTTAAAATAAAACCTGTTAATTTATTTAAAACATTTTTTAATTTAACTTATGACAAACTTTCCTAATAGTCATAGATGAACGATTGAATAAACAATTGAAAAACAGTTAAATTAAAATAATATATGAATATATCTATTGATATGAAGACATTCTACAAAGAGCTTCATATTGTAATCCAATATGTTAAAAAAATAAGCAATAGGCACTAGTGACACTTCCATTTATTTAGAAAAGAAAAAAAATTAACTAATTTAGTATACTGCCTATATTATCTATATATAGCTACAGATCGAAGAACCTGTTAGTTTATTAGATTTCAAATTATTGCTATCGGCGAATATCAACGTGCTTGTATTATAGACCAATTAATATTGAGGTATGGTAAGCCATTTAAAGCACAAAATTAATTTATGTATGTACAGTGTATTTTAGAATTCGTTTATTTCGCCTATGATAATTTTGATTTGATCCAAACATGAAACTGAATATTACTGAATTCAAGCAAAAGAGGATCGCGCGAAGTGCGCTTGATAACACTATTACCTTTCAATACAGTCATTGATGCCATGTTGAAGTATTTCATTCGTGATCTGATTGGCTGAGATATGGTCACGTGATATACTCGTACATGGTCGCAAATAAGTGTGAATGTATGGTTACGAGTAGAAATTTTGATGTAATGAAATCTCAATTGATCATAATTAACTGTATTAATTGATACGGGTCTATTTAAAAATATGAAAAATATGAAAGAAAAAAAATAGTCTGCAGTGTTATTGTTTTAACACTCATTTTATGAAACTAGCAGCGAGTAAATTGTTTCATAAAAACATGGCTTATGGTTTGAAACTCTCCTGATTTTTTTCTATTACTAATCAATAATCTGATTTTTGAATGTGTAAGAATAAAGTAAATATTATAAAGTCACAATCTTTATTCAAAGAGCAGGATAAATTTTTAATTATAATTCGACCCGTATAGTTGGAGAGAAGTACTAAAAAATTATTTATAACAGTATTCGATATCATAAATCATGAATTTGGAATATGTAGAAATATTTTGCCAATACAGATTTTCCGCTGTGATATGTTTCATACAGAAATTGAAATATCCAGCTTTGAAAAAAGTAATTTTATGTTAAATATATTAATCAATATGACAAGAAATGATCAATTAAGATTAAAGTAATATTAAATGATGAATGTCAACAGCTCTAAAATATGCGTGTCACCTATTTCCTTTATCGAAAATAACATAGAATTATTACTTATTTGATCATTTACTTTGAAATAATAATAATTTATTTAGCATTTTCTGTTTTGCTACAAATATTTCATTGTTTTCAGATAATCATTAACATTGAGGCTTTCATCGTTACATATATTATACATACATAAAATACTTAAAATCTAAATTGTCCTTTGAAAGGAGTAGTATTTAATAAAGTATTCTATAGTGTTAGGGAGTATGTGGAATGAAACTATTCTCATTCCAATGTACATAATGTATTAATTGTTTTATTAATTCTTAATTTTAATAAATCTTCAATGAAAATTCTTTGAAAATTGTATTCATTATTTGTAAAAACATTTGCCAGTCGGCTTCACGTTTATTATTTTATGTTTTGAAATACGTGCAGAAAACGAAGGAAAAGATTGATCTAATTTAAAGTCAGATTTGTATTTTATTTGTATCTATTTACACACATGCTACGTGCGCGCACACACGTATATATTAGTATATCTATATAGTTTTTCACCATAATTATTGATTTATTATTATTTTTCATTCTCTATTTAAATACTTTTTTGGTAGTTATTTTCTCTTTTTGTTTATTTATTTTCAATCTTAGTTATCTTTTTATTTCTATTTAAGTGCAGCATAATTTATCTGATAAATTTATCTTTTATTCGATTCATTATTCGTCTACTATGTGTCCCGTTCTGTTTAGTTATTTTACTTTTCTTCCTTTTGAGCGAGAAATTAGAAATAAATTGCAACTCACATTATTCGGTTAAGAAACATTTATATAAATGTTTATTCAAGTTTATAAACTATCGTTAGCTACTCGATTTTCTACATAAAGAAAATTCCGCTCAATTAATTAATTGTGGTAAATTTGAATATTATATTCCAACCCAAAACATTTATTATAAATTGAGAAAATCAAGCTTATTAAATCCATTATTGCACAATACTTGATCAATATTTGGAATAATTTCACGAATAGTTTGAGTAAAAAGTAATTTTTTATTTAAAGGAATAATTAATTAGCAATTAATAAATTTTAGATTTCAGAATAAATATTTGTATACTTACAATACGCGCATGCGTTGCTATATCAAAATATTTGATTTATTTCAAACCGAGGGGCGGAGCAGTAGGTGTGGCTTATTTACGTCATAGTTGTTCAAATCATTGTACGATCTGGATGATCCTCCCCTTTTCGAAGGTGCGACCCCTCCACTGAACTAGTAAATCTATGCCTCTAGGGTAGTATCGAAGCTTAGAGAAACAAGAACTGACTTGAATGTATACCAATTTTTTTATGTGTATATATGAGTATATAAGTGTCTTCCTTTATGTGTGTACTGGCTCGAGCTTGCGTCCGTCTCTAAACTAAATCTAGTTTTAATAAGACTGTAGACAGTTCCCAGCACTATTTATCTGTACGTCATGTAAATAAGATAAATTCCATACGCAAAGAATAAAATAGTTCATAACAAAGTTTTGAAAATCGTTGATCGATATAGATGTCTTATTTTTCTAATTAAATTGATGATTTTCTTGTACAAATTAGTATTTTGAGGAAAGGTACCGGTCAAATTATTTTATTAGTTCAAATGAAATGATATTGGTTCCATTGGTACGTATTAAACTTATTTGAATTTAAATAAATAGAAAAGAATAGTGAATCAATTACACACAAATGAATTATTTTCTGTAATATTTATACAAATTTCGTTTTGATTGGCTTATATATAATCACTGAGAAAGGTGTTAACCATAGTAATAGTGTTAATTGTTATATAAAAGTGACTTTGTTTAGTAAAAAGGTCACGTCAGGATAATTTACCATACACTTTTTATAACATTTTACTTAATTAGTATTGTATATCAGTAATTATATTTGATTGATCCATCAAAATTCCTGCTATATTGTCTATTTAATAATCTTAGTATAATATACCAACTGTTTAATCGCATCAATGATTTTATTTACATGTAATAATTTTTAATTTATTTCATTTCATTTGCTTATTTAGATACATCAAATTATTATAAATCATTTGAATTAAAAACAAAGGAAATTTCTTTTTGTTTTCATGAAATAATTTTTTCCATAGCTCATAACCTTTCTGATTATTTATTTTTAATCCACTACAAATATTTTAAAGTTGATTACTTATTTGAACAACAAAATAAAACGTAAATCTTAATTTTTTTCGTTTTATAATATAAAATTGTGTATTTTATTTATCCGTATATTAAGTGATTCTTTAAATAATGGTTTTAAAGCTTCAATGCGAATGCATATTTTATTAGATATATGATTTTTACATAATTGAGACCTGATTAACAATTATTTTTAAAAATCACTCTTAAGTATTAAAATATTTGATGATACTAAATTTTTGAAAAAATTAATACAAAGAGGATTATAAATTTTTTCCTATACATTAAAAATAGAAAATAGATGTTTAGAAGCTATGTGCAATTTTTTTTCAAGAAAAAAAATTATTTCCGTTTTTTTGAATATCATTTTTTTCCATATTCTATATATTACTCATACATATTATAATCAATTAAGCATAGAAATATTTGAAAAGCACTGTTATGTGTGTTTTATAGTTTTTTATTCCAAAAATAAAGATATCATAGTCAACTATTTTTCAATTCCATTCAATCCCTATTGGACTAATTTTAGTATTGGGATTCGAAACGGTAAAGTAGAAATATATTCAAGACAGCAATGATTTATAGTTAGCGGTTTTCAAGTATTTAATGAAAGTACTTGACGTACATATTTCAAATAATCGCTATTAGTTATACTTAAGCTTGACTTGTCGCTGTAAGCTCAAACAGTAAATTAAAAATCTCCTAGTACTTTTTATTCTGAAATTGACTATAAAATGTTTTAAAAATGCTCCAATACCGATATTCTAAGTTCATTTAGATAAATATACGTTCGCATAAATAATTAGAATTGTCTAAAATGAAGAAGTGGTCAGTAAGCTTCTTTATAGAAACAGACTTATGATAATAAAGTCCTGTATTATGAAAAGTTATGATTTTCAACATTCAAATTATCTACTTTATTACATGCGTTTTATATACATAAAAAGTATAGTGCTTATAAACGAATAAGTATAAGCAACATTGGCACACAAAGAAAAACTTTGAACTAGAGGTCCTACACATATGTTTTCATATAAATTTTAACCTGCTTTTCGTTATTTGTTAATAACAATGATGTATTATTAAATAAATTTTATTAATAATACAAACGGAAAGCATATAATCGAAAATAATAGCAGCACGTAACGGAGTACACGAATATGAATTTGAATGTCTTCAGATAAACCTAAATATGTCTTTAATTCATTAAAATACTGTATATAACACTTTATGTACGACATACTGATTATAAGTTGAGATATGAACTCTGGACTGCGACTGTATGTTGTGTCAGCTATTTGCGAACTGAACGTGCGTCATTTGTAAATGGCTGCATCCTTCCGGACTCATTTGGCGGAGAGAAAAGCAATAAAAATTTAGGCTTCTAGGAAAACCCATTGACTTTTGTTCCTTATATACAAGAAGAAATTATTTTTATATATATTTTTTATATATATTTTTATATATACCTGCGATGATTTATTGACATAATATTTACACTTTTCAGTCAAATGCCTCAATTTGACTTTTTCTAATGATTTCATTAGCACGTCAATAATAATTTCGTTTGCTGAATTTATAAGCCATGATTTCCTTTTCCTTGATGTATGTGATAAAATCATGTGTTTAACGGGGCTGTTGAATTTTCATGTTCCACAAGCTTTAGGCAGCTGTAAATATCCTCTTAAACAATCGTCATTTCTTATGCTCTTCTCTCGAAATTTTTAACTAAATAACGTATCTACAATCTCTCTTTTTCGTAATATAAAATCTTATTAACCTTATTTAGCTGATGTGCAAGCAAGGATCTGCAGGGCTTTGTACAAAAAATATATTCCTTTAAATAATCACTTAGTTTATTGTGCCATATTTTAGCTGCTTGCTTCAAGTCGTAAATCTTTTTGTTCAATCTGCATATGTCATCTTTATTTCCCTCGATGTATCGTTCAGATTGATGCATGTAAATGTGTTCTTTCAATTTCCTGTTGAAAAAAGCCATCTTTGTGTCGAAATGTTTTACGACTATACCTTTTAGATCTGGGATAGTAAGAAGTGTCCAAATAATTATTTGTTTTATAATAGAAGTAAACATCTTGTCATAATAGTTGCCGTACTTTTGAGAGAAATCTTGAGCTACGAGACAAGCTTTGTATCATTCCAAATGCGCCTACCTCTGAACACCATTTGCAGCTAACAATGGTTTGGTCGCTAGGTCGTGGCACCGTTTCTTACGTGCCATTTGATCGTAAAGGCTTGATCTTGTCATCCGTGGCCCTTTTATAATGCTCTTTATAATTAATACATTAGCAACAGTTCACGGTTGGTGCTTTTCTTAGGTTAATTTTGCTGTAGCAACATACCTGTTTGATTATAATTCTTGCGTTTCGAAAATTCGATTTCGAACGGTGAAGCACTATTCCTTTTTAAAATATCACTGGAGTGCATATCTCGACTTATCTTTATTTAATTAGTCTTTATGTCAAGGAGGTGATAATCTTGTTAGCTCCTTTAAATAACCAATGAAAATCAACTTTTTAGCTTTCAGGTCAAAGTTTTTGCCAAGTAGTCAATATGCCTATATAATGTGCAATAGAAAATATGTAGAAGCTTTACATCTGATTTACTGCTGTATTATCATTCATATAATGGCTTGCATATTGTTCGTGTAGGTTTTAACCGGAATTGAAGTAATCAGGATATTGAAAGTAGCCAGAAGCTACTAAATAAATAAATCGTCTAAATGAAGTCTGAAGGTTGTTTTATTGTACAACGGAAATTATTCAAGAATACCAGTCAGGAATCACTAAGTATCCTCGCTTCTTATGCCTGTACGATAAGATATGGCCGAGAAAATCAGAATAAAAAATATGGTTAAAAATAGATATGCTTAATCTAGTCATAACGTAGTGCAGTAATTGTTGGTAAATCTTTAGAAAATGTTATTGCTATCACTTCATGTTAACTTCGATATAATGAATTGATTAAAACTTTAGACAAACACCTGAAAAAAAGTCCCACAATTAAATGTTACAAAATTGAAAGATGGCTTCTTTGATTGTCCTCAAATTCGAAAAATGTTTGAAGATGAAATTATCATAATAACAGTGAATGACAAAAAAGTCGCATAGCTTGATTTTTGTAAGGTTGCTCAACATTTTTTTGGTAATCATAAAAGTATAGCATACAAAGAAACCATTCAAGATTTTCAACAAATTTCCTTGAAAGCTGTTTGTCAATTTTTTATAGTTATAGTATTAAATCTTCTAACGTAATCATATCTTTGGAGTTCATAATTTACCATCTTATCCAACTCAACAAATTTTGAAGACATATCGATAGTCGGAGTAAGACGCGCCATAGTCAAATAACTTATTTACGTTGACATATTGACTGCATATCTTAATTATTGTCAATGAATTTATACAGTTATCTCTTACGCATTATTATTGAATCATTAAATTATCATTTTAAGTATTGGAAATCGAGTGCTTGATCGTATTTTTTGTCCACCTCATCAATGTTTTAAAAGAGAATAGCAGTCTAGCAGCAAAATTACACAATACACAACAACCAGGTAAGGCTTAATCCCATATCGAATAGACAAGTAAGATCTTTCTACGATAAATCACTTAGCTGGATGAACAATTTAAAACTAACTTTTGATGAAAATTTATTGCTGTATTTCAAACTTTGTAGGAATAATTTCTGTTTCTAAATATTCAATTTCAATTTTCTAACTTGGTTAACATTTTAGCAGAGTAAAGCAAAACAATCTTGTTTACTTTTTGGACTCATAGGATAGAAATGGACCATTATAAATGTAATAATTTATTATGTCTGTTGTTTAGAAAAATGGAAAAAATTCGTATATGTTATAACACAACGTTTTAAAATCATCTGAATAATAATAATCAAAATTTAAATAAAACATAAAAATAAACCATATTATATTTTATTGCTGTAGAATAGATTATTCTCAAAAGATTATAATGTAGAAAGCTATTTCTAGAAGGCAAGCTGGTAATCGTGCACATAATTATCATGCACATAAACTGCTGTGTTCCGTAACATATGAAAATTGCTATATTGATATATTATGCTATATTTCTGGTGCATAATAGCTCATGTGTGTAATAATTATGTGGATGATTGTCAGCTTACCTTCTACAATTAATGAAGAAAAATTGAATGCTATAAATAATTTTTTATTATAACTATTATAACATACCTATTCTATACATGATTTATTGTGCACAGTATAATATGATATCGTATATCTGTGTATTAATTTTCACGTATGTTACCGTTCACAATAATTTATGTGCAAAATAGTTATGTGCACAATCGTCGGCTTGCCTTCAGTCTTACGTATTTTTATTTCCTGAATCCAAATCTGCAACTGAATTTTTCAAAAAATACGAAGAAACTAGTTTGTGGTATAATTGTTTAAATAAATTATGAAAAATCAGTTTGTTTAAAACGAATATATTTTTTCTTAAAATATAGTCTATTTTATGATGAAAATATCATTTGCAATTTTTTTTTAACTATGTATTTTTAAAGATAAAATATTTCACTTATTTAAGGACGTTGTCTTACCCGCAGAGGAACTCAACCTATAGTAGTATAGGCGACCGGCTTTTTTCTCTCGGCTCCGTATATAATATTTGAGCACTGCTTCGTGCGCAGAAGTATCGAAAGAGTCTTTTGCGCCGATTTACTCGACTTTGCAACACCGTCCGTGCCTCGTGTTCTCATCGTATATTTAGTTTGTGTATCAACACAAAATCATGATCACGTGAGGTTAGGTGACCTTACTTTTATTATAGTTTATTGAATTATTATTGAATACAAATCCGTGAGTCAGCAAAAATGTCAAGTGACAACCGTAAGAAGAATGGTTGTTTTATCAAAAAGAGTTGCATTGAACGTAAGAAAAAAGCATTGGAGGCAATGTCAGCAGCAAAAAAACGTCGTATCAAAGAACAATTGTCATCAGGCAATGAAAATAATATTTGTGAAGGTCTACGCGTTGTAAATATTAAAGAACTAGGAAAAAATCTTAAATGTAAAGGATGCTTGCACCTCTTAGATTTGAGCAAAGTCTCCAAAGAAAGAATGATTGGTTGTCATTCTTTACTAACTATTCGATGTGACCACTGCCAAATTTTAACAGAAGTAAACACAGCTCATATGACTGATAATAAAGTTTCAGAAGTAAATGCTGGACTGGTTCTGGGTACGTAGCGTCAAATTTATGTTTAATATTATAAAAATGAATAAACAATCACATGAAAATTTTTAATTTGAATGTTTGAATTGTGAATAAGGAATTCATCGTTATTACAGGTGCAATACATTCAGGTGCTGGGCAGACTGCGTTAAACAAAATTTTGGCGTGTGCAAACATACCTCCTATATTTAATTATCTATATAAGCACTATGAAAAAATTATTGGTAAAGCCATCGAAGAAGAAGCCTAAGATAGTTGCAAAAGGGCCGCACAGGAAGAAAGAGAATCAGTGATACAAAATATTCTTAAGTTGATTAAAGAGTTGTAAGAATTTTTTTTAACGTGACTGTAGATTGCATGTTAGAGAGCTGCATTTTGTATCAAATAGTGCACTCAAAATTCAAGTAAAATATTGACGCTTTCATCGACCAAACTCCTGTACAACTATCTTTTCATGCATTATTAAATTATTGAAAATACGTGGATCAAATCAATTTTTGTAAATAGTTGTTTTTATCTGATTCTACATAATGTTGATTCTTTTTTGTTGAAAATTCCAGTCTTGTTATTTTTTTTTTAATGGACTTCTTTTTAACTTTTGATTTTTTATATTTTATGAAATATTTAGTACATATTTTTACACTTTCAGCTATGAAAAACAATTTGCAGTGCAATATTTTGATATAAATGCAAATTTCTATAAATGTAATTTTTTACTTACAACGTCAACATAATTCTAACTTTATTATTTCATAATACGTCATGTATCACTGTCAAACAAGAAATTAAAAAGAATTGAAAAAAATCACGAATAAAATCTGTTATTGTCGCATTACTTGTACCATAATGTAAATTTCATTTTTTCAGACCAGAAAATATAGCTCGAGATATATATCCTCATGTCGAAACCCTTGAATCAAATAATGAAACTAACGAAACGACAAACTCAAGTTTCGACGCAGCTTTAGGTGAGATCATTAATATTATTGTCTCATACGACACAGGGTGGACCAAACGTGGCAACGGACGTAGCT